ACCTGTCCAGGTGTCCCTGTGATGGACTGGAGACCTGTCCAGGTGTCCCTGTGATGGACTGGAGACCTGTCCAGGTGTCTGCAGGAGTGTGACCAGCAGCAGTCTGCACGAAACAAACTGAACCAAAAAGACGAACCTCAGGAGATCTAATTATGTGTAACAAGAGAAGTCGTGGCCAGGCAATGTGCCACCGGAGACGTCAGCTTTTGTTTATATTTCTTATTGATTTGTTTCTAATGCGATAAGAAATGAAGGCATGTTGTGCCGCGGTGCTCAGTCACAGTCATTACACGTACCCCTGTTTCCAAGAGCAAAACGCCGAGCTGCCCCTTCTAGATCAGCAGCGTGGTAAACGTATTTTGCCCTGAATTAAAGCTGCGCAGTTGCTCCGCCTTTTGAACCGCAGACTGATTTAATCCGACTCACTATGGGGGATCATCATCAATAATTATTAATCTGTCATTGTAACGCTAACCATGTGTCTGTGACTGCAGAGATGCTCAACAAAGGAAGTTCACATTTCGATACGGCACAAACTGTACATCATCCTCGTGGTGTTCGTTCCCTTTTTGTCTCCATCGCAGAAAAAAGGATGGAAATTAGAATCGCCCTCCGTCCATCCAACATCATAACTTGAAAAATAAGTGAGGTACCGATTTTCATTTAGGTGTGGCTACAGCTAGGTGTAAAAAAGGTCGCTATCAAAAATTTAGTTGCCACGTCAAAATCCAAGATGGCTACCACCGTGTATATATGTAAACCAGCCACCCCAAACATTTGAGGAAACTATCCTTCTTAGTTTTAATATTCCTTGAAAGTATAGTTTCCTCAAATGATTGCGGTGACCAAAGATTAGTCTGTAAGGTGGCCAAGGCCACCATTAGCCACCCCCTGGCTCCACCATTGCATCTGGTGGTGCTCCTTGTTCCCTCGAGCAAGCAAAACCAGCAACAAGAAGTCCCTCTGTTCTTCTCCACAGTGTAACTTCTCCCCACCTCAACATCTGGCACCAAAAACATTCAGGTTTACTTCCATTCTCTGTTCAATTCCAATCCAGAAAAACACTCACGTCCAAAACTACAAGCATTCGCTGTTCAAACCCCTCAGAGACGGGGGACACCGGCGTGCCCCTTGGTTAGTTTAGGGACGTAAAGTGGTACAGTTTGGTGTGGTAGTAGCTGAGAGTCATTCCCAACACATCTGCCAAGTGCTAAAGTCTCTAAAGTAAGTGACAGATGAAGGAGTACCTTAAATTCAGACAGAGTCCCTTCATTTCTAAATCTGGTTCATTTTGATATGAACAAGTTCAACTCTAAAGTCATCCTCTAACCAAACACACACATTTAGCTAATCAAATAACTTGTTCTTAATCTTAAGCCAGGATTTCACTGCAGCCGTGACAAATGTCCAAATGCCTTTTAATATTAGCGAGTGTTTTTATTAATTGTCTTGCGTGAGACATTGGGCCTGGCTCTCGTCGCAGGAATTTGAGCATGCTTGGGAACAATAAGCAAAATCATTTTTCTCTTAAAGTGGATCATAGTCGGTCCAAGCACCTGGAACCGGTCTCCAACCCGTCTCAGTTTACTTTTTGAAATTCTAGAGGTCTACAGCTGTAAACTTCATTTGAACTTTAATAAAATAAAGTTGCTGTCGGCAGTCAAAGGTTTATACTTTATTAAAATCACTTCAAGTTCAGTAGAGTGGTAACAAAGACATGCACTGGATTTTAAACTCTTAAAAAATGTTCATCCATTAATTTTATTCCACTTTTAAATGCAGGTTCGCTCAGAGCTGGTGCTGATTTCCAGCAGACATTGTGGGAGGGACAGAGGACACTGGACAGGTTGGAAGTCCATCACAGAGACAAGCAGAGACGAACAAGACAACTGATCTCATTCACTCACTCCTGCAGGCGGCTTCGATGTGAAACAACGTGCGTGGCTGAGAATCCAGCTTTGCAAGCCACAGACACAAAAATAATTCATGATTTGCTCAATTTGGCTGCTAAGTTGACGCTCGTAAATCTGTGACGGTGAAGCTGAAAATGTGTCTGTTGGGTCCTCCACTCAGTGTCTTTCAACAGAAGTTTGGTCTCATCGTCCGGCGTCTCAACGTCCTGCCAGAATTATCGAGTGTCTTGTGAGACAAACTACGTGTGCAATGTTTTATTTTCATTCTTGCAGAAAGGTGCC